GCTGGATATATAAAAGGGTATGAGGGCGGCGGAGGAGGAGGAGAACCGCCGTGGCTCCTGCGGGCTGCTGTTGGAGAAGTACGAGCTGGGGAAGCTGGTGGGATGCGGGGCGTTCGCTAAGGTCTACCACGCACGAGACACGCGTACGGGTCAGAGCGTGGCCATAAAGGCCGTGAGCAAGCAGCGGCTGGTGAAGGGAGGGCTCAACGCCCTCGTCAAGAGGGAGATCGCTATCTTGCACCGCTTGCGTCATCCCCACATTGTGCGCCTGTTCGAGGTCCTCGCGACGAAGACGAAGATCTATTTCGTCATGGAGTTCGCCAAAGGCGGAGAGCTCTTCGCCAAGGTTTCCAAGGGGAGGTTCAGCGAGGATCTCAGCCATCGGTATTTCCAGCAGCTCATCTGCGCCGTCGGATACTGCCACTCCCGCGGCGTCTTTCACCGGGATCTGAAGCCGGAGAATCTCCTCCTCGACGAGAAGCTCGATCTCAAGGTCTCCGATTTCGGACTCAGCGCCGTCAACGATCAGATCCGACCCGACGGACTCCTCCACACCCTCTGTGGCACCCCCGCCTATGTCGCGCCGGAGATCCTAGCCAAGAAAGGCTACGACGGCGCCAAGGCCGACGTCTGGTCGTGCGGTGTCGTGCTGTTCGTTCTCAATGCCGGTTATCTCCCCTTCAACGATCCCAACCTCATGGTAATGTACCGTAAGATCTACAAGGGAGAGTTCCGTGTCCCGAAATGGACGTCTCCGGAGCTCCGTCGACTCCTAATCCGGCTTCTCGACACGAATCCGGAGACGAGGATCACCGTCGACGAGATAATCAAAGATCCGTGGTTCAAAAAGGGATACGACGAGAAAATGTCGAGATTCCACCACGAGGAATTCGATCTGAAGCTACCGGAGAGCGAGGAGAGGGGCACGAGACGCCTGAATGCATTCGACATCATATCGGGTTCACCGGGATTCAACCTGTCGGGTCTGTTCAGGGAAGAGAGCAAGATGGAGCGGTTTGTATCGGCAGAGGCGCGGGAGAAGGTGGTGGAGAAGCTGGAGGAGGTGGCGAAAGCGGAGAATTTGACGGTGACGAAAGAGGGGGAATGGGGGATGAAGCTGGAGGGGCAAAAGTGTAATTTTGCGATGGTGGTGGAGATATACCGGTTAACGGACGAGCTGGTGATGATAGAGGCGAGGAAGGGAGAGAGAGGGGGAGTATCAGGACGCGACTTGTGGACAGATACAATAAGGCCGTGTCTTATTCAACTCTCTCATAAACCGGCCGCTACGGTCTCCGGTTGCAGCAGCGTAGGAGCTACTTAGCGTTTACGCGGCGTTTCGGGATACAAACGCTGTTTGTTTATAGGTCATATATGTACATATATATATATTTCTGTCCGGTCCCAACTGTGATAAATAAAAGAAAATAATAAAAAAGAAACTCAAAATCAGTTCTATAAGAAAATGGGTGGTTTATGATCTCCCCCCTAATAAACGAGTTGAACGTCAATTAGGAGTGGCCATGTCGATGTGTTAAAGGTTTCAGTACTCGGTGGGTTGAATGTCATGTAACGGTGATGGTTTTCCAATGGAGAGAGTAGGCGTATACATATATATATGGATCTCTCTGCCTGAAAAAAACAAAACACACACACTCACTCACACCTTCTAAGGCTTAAACATTGCATGCGACTCCCAAACGACCGTTAAAAAAGGAGCAAATAACACAAAAATAGAAGGAAACGATCAGAATGTGAAAGAGACCGGGGCCTCTCTCTATCAATGATGCCAAGCCCAAACGATATCGTTCAGACTCGGCCTGACGCTCTCCTCCATCACTCTCTTGTACTCCAATGCGTTGCTATTCTTCTTCATCTCCACCACGTGAAAACTGGGCACTATCTCATACACCTGCGCTTCAATTGTCAACAACTCCCCCTCCATCCTCACCTTCCCTCCACCCCCGGTCTTCACCTTCATCCCCAGTCCCTTCCCTATCTCCTCCAGCTTCTCCACTATCTCCTCCATGCTCCTCTTTGATGTGAACCTCGTTTCCTCTTTCTCCTCAAACATCCCCGACAGATCAAACCCCGACGACATCGATATTATCTCAAACGCATTCAACTTCCAACACTCTCCCCCACTCTCACTCTGACCATTTCCATCCACCTCTACTTCTGCTCTTGCATCTTTTTCCCCCTTTTGGAACCAACTACTCTCCATTACCTTCTCCATACCCGTCCTTGTCTTTGAGTTTGGATCCAATATCCGCTTCAGCAACCTCCTAACCTCCGCCCCAAACCAGTTCGGAAACTTGAACTCCGCTTTCGCAATCTTCCTATACATCTCCATCAGATTTGGATCCCTAAATGGAAGATACCCCGCTAACAAAACATACAATATCACTCCGCATGACCATACATCCGCTTTGAACCCATCATACCCTTTCCGACATATCACCTCTGGTGCTACATACGCAGGAGTCCCACACGTCGTGTGCAACAACCCGTCCTGACGCCTGGACTCAGCAAGCGAGCTCAGCCCGAAATCTGTCACCTTTAAATTCCCTTCCTCGTCCAGCAGCAGATTCTCTGGCTTCAGGTCCCTATGACACACTCCATGCCTGTGACAATAGTCAACCGCTCTATTTTATATCAATTGAATAATTAAAACTCGTCACATTCTTCTCTCTTGAATGTTTAAAGCACGGTTCGGTGCATCCGCCGGACATCCTCTCGCAGCTTTCCTTTCGCCACTTTGTTGAATAGCTCTCCTCCCTTTACATACTCCATGATGAAATAGATCTTAGTTTTCGTGGCCATTACCTCGTAGAGCTCGACTATGTTGGGGTGCTTGACAAGTTTCATGATAGCAATCTCTCGCTTTATCTGCTCAGTCATACCGACTTTCATAACTTTTTCTTTGTCAATGACCTTCACAGCCACGCTAGTCCCGGTATTCAGATTCCTTGCATGATACACTTTAGCAAATGTCCCTTGGCCAAGTAATCTTCCCAGCTCGTAACGTTGCATCAGTATACTTCCTTTTCTTTTCATTGCCACCAGATGAGGTTAAAACACTACGACGACTATAGCCCTACTATACACTATATTTGTTAAAAACAAGAAAGCAAAAAAAAGACGGTTGAACTCAAGAACCCAGATGATGTTCAACCGTCTTCACACAGATCATGCTTTGATGCGATGCTTTCTTCGGCATTCTGGGGAGAAGTAGGGTTGCGAGCGCAAAACTGGGGATGGAGTGAATGGATTAGAAGCTGGGTCTCATGAGAGATGAGCACCAATAGCAGCCCAGAGAGATCATAGACCTCAGCAGAGGAATTATGTTCAACTTTCAAGCACATGTTTCCGCATTCCTTGGATTAGATGTGAAGCAGATACAAAAGGAAAGCGCAAAACTCTCGATTTCTCTTTGAACAGCAGAGAAACACAATCACAAAAACTGCGGAGAATTGTGGGTTTGACCTGAAACAGGGCAAAGAAATCAAGTTAGCTTCAACTGACAGATATCCTGAGTGCTGCATTACTCCACATGACAAAACATTTGTATGAATCCAGAAACAACACCAATAAGGAAGGAGCAGGTTAATGAAATTGCCGTGTTCTTCAACAAAATAATCTGGGATCAGGTTTTCCACCACGCATAGAGGACGGAGAACACAATTTGATCAAAAAGCAGAAAGGGGAATTCACAAGTGTGAAGCTAATAAGACTTGATAACAAAGATTCGATTTATCCAGAAAGAAGAATAGCAAGTCCGAATCTTATACCATCTAATCTATCCTACAAGTAGAACAATGGCAATCAGCGAACTCTGCAACAGAGTAAGAATTGCAATCATGGAATTCAAGCTTATGACGCGTCCAATGCCCTAAACCAACGAAGTCCGAAACAGAGAGGCTTAAAACGATTCAATCACATAGTGTCGGTCTGTCAAATTACCAAAGGAACGAATCAAACACATCAATTTATGCTGTCAGGAACATCAACCGGAAGCAAGATTCAGATTTGTCATTTTCCCCTTTTGTGCTATGATAAAAGCTTGTCAGTCCCCATATGATAAGAGGCGAAGCAATGTCACATTGAACGCTCGAAACCTCACAGAACCATGGAAACCCCGACACACGAGAATCAACCAAAGAGGTTCCAATTTCGCACAATTTCATCACAAAAGAGACAGAGATCAGCGCATACTGTCGCCGACTCTAATAAATTTCTCTGAATCAGAATGATCAAAAGCAAGGAGACGGGGAATTTTACCTCTCAGGAGAGCGGAAGCTGCAAAAGACGAAGCCAAATTGAAAAACGCAAATGAAATGAAGCAGACTGGGGAAAGTATAAAAGGCGGCCGAGAGAATTATGAATAAGGGTTGATGTTTGCATGATAATTACGAAAATGCCATTGTAGGGATTTTCTAAAGAAAAGGAGAAGCGCCAACCTGTGTCGCTGTGGAATGCGTCCGTTGCAATCAGTTTTTGGCGTATAGTGGTGACGGTAATCACTGCCTGAGTCAATCATTTTCTGATCTTTTGATTGATTAAACCCACCGCATGTATATTCCCTTAAAACAAATGAAATATTTGCGAGAGGTCCATTACAAATCGTGTTTAGCAAGAGAGATGCCATGCCAGAAAAATCGAATGATTGGGTAAGTCGGCATTTTCGTCTTGTGCTTGTTTGTTTATCCGCAAAGGACGATATACGTATACGCACACGCAGGTCAAGAGAAGACTTTCTCTATTATTACAATTGAGGATGCTACTAACCATAACTTTCTGCCTCCTCCTTCCAAATGACAAAACTCAGTGACAACTGGTCCATGGAAGGGACACCTCTTCATCCTACGACTCTCCTTGTCCCCTGTCCAAGGATCTGTTGTATCCATAAAAGAAGATGTTCTTAACAAATTCAAGATACGAATAAAATTCAGATATACTCCATATCATCTTTCCGAAATATATTTTCCTATGTACTTTAAATTTCAATATCTGTAAACCCCCTTTTTCCAATTTCTCCAGAGAGAAAGTTATTTCTGTCGCTTTTCGGACAGGGCTGCAAAATGCTTAAAAGAGGAAGATGTAAAGACAAGCATGACATTGCCAAGGGCCATGATAGGATGTATAATCTGGAGAATGCAAATGGTAATATACAGAGAGGGGGGGGGGGGGG